TGCCTGAATGAAGCTGGTAAAGAAAATGCAACTGAAAAGCGTCTTGTCACATGGTTTTTCAGGGTAAATAGTACAGACACTATGTGTTCTCGCTTCAGCATCACTAGTGCATTGTATTTAATATGAGCTGCAGTTGAAGACTTAAATGTCCACTCTGTTCTTTGCTCCTGTACCAATTCTTTGCTTCATAAAACTCTAATCTTCAATTGTTTGTTATAGCAGTTGTATGGAATACTTATCTAGTATATACTTATCTAGTGAATATATCTAGTGAATTTCTTCATTTCCATTTTTTTCAGACAAAAATACTCTGTTGCAAAAGCAAATAGGAGTGTATCTCTTAAAAATAGTCAATCCTTTTTTTTTTTTTTTCCCCTCCAAATCAAGGATCTGTGGTAGCCTAATAAGCAGATTCTCGGTTTAATTCTTCATATTACTGAAACAGACTTTTGGGGCATAAATGCTCTGGCAGGAGTGAAATGTCTGATGCAGTTAAAGTATTTTATATGTGCATTTGCTTACGTTTTCCATACACTTGTCTCATTGTGCTTTACCACTGGAGAACTAGACTAGCTATCCTCAAGCCTAGTAACTGAACTGAGCATCTGAGCATTCTCATACATCTCTCTACTAGCCGTGATTGTTCGTCTTTACTAACGCTGCTTTCAGTGAGTTGGGTTTAGAGGCCTCAGAGATGGATGTAATGCAGGTCTGTTTCAAATAATAATTCTGTAGCATTGAGAATATAGCAGTAAATTGAGCCACTTCCCCCCCCCCCCCCCCTCCAGTTTTCACGGTTATATTTGAATTTGGGTAGCAAAGGCAACAATAGGTTTGTTCCCGTGCACTAGCCTAGGAGATGGTGCTAGGTGTGGGATCCTCCAGAGGGGTCTGCAGAAGGGAATTCAAACATAAATGTGGAAATGCCTTGGCCCTCCTGGGCACCCTTGGAGGTGAAGGGAAGGGAAGGGCGGGCAGGGAAAGGCTCTGTGAGACTTCTGTCATTCACTGACCGACAGAGACAGTGAATAATGCTTAAATAATGATCACTGATTTTTGTATACAGTGGTGGATGGTGGGCTCTGGCTCTCTCCTTTTTTGACCTCCTTTGTTCAGATTTTGTGATTCACGCTCTCAGGTGTGGATAATGTATTTTTCCCCTTTCTGTTGGGTTGGAAACAGCTCCATTGTGTTTTGGATTGGACGGGTAACAGTGCTGAAGCAAAATGTTATTTCAGCTGGCTGTTATTTCAGTGTAATGTTAATTCTGACTATTATGTCTGTATACTTACGTGTTACATGATAATAGAGCTGGAACTGAGTGTTGCTGCTGTGGAGCTGGAAAGTTAATGAGTTAGAGCCGTGCAGGCCGGGGTGTCCGAAGCTCCAGGTGCTCTGTAGCTATCCTGGCTTCCAAACTGGGTAACTGGAAATAAGCTACAATGGAAGGAATTTGTTAGATGTAAAGTTTTATTTGTTTTCATGGAGAGAGGCAGCATCTATAATTAAATTTGCTTTTACGCTATATTCTTAGGTATAAGATATTTTTCTGTTCTAGGGTAAAAAAAGTCTCGATAGTATATTTAGTTATTTTTGTATCTTGTTTTTTTGTGGCGTTTTTTTGGTATGAAGAGTAGTACGAAATATAAAAATGGTTAGGTAGTCTGTGAACATTCTCTTTTTAATTCTGTTTCGGAGTTCAGGAGCCCCTCATTGCATCTGTTTCGCTTATTCTTTGTATTCTTTCTCTTTCACAAAGTATTTCACAGGCCTTTCAAGCGGAGTAAGAGTAGAACAAAGGCGAACAGAGTTAAATTGGATCTATGTTTTCTTCAGACTGTAGGAAATCCTTTAGCGTAATATGTTTCTTTTATTGTAATTGCATCTCTGATTACCATGATGATACTATAAATAGCCGTGTTTAGGAAGTCCTGATATACACAAATGGAGTTTAATTTCAGTGGAAATTCTTGTTTTCTTTCTCTGTCCTCTTCCCACCTTTCCTTCCCAGACCGTTAAATAAAGATTGTGACGTTCTGCACCTCAGTCACCGCCAAGGTTTTTTAAGGCAAACTCGTGTAATTATATGCCCAGCACAGGAAAGATCATTGAGGTTCCAGTGTGTTTAGTGCCATGTACATGTAATATGTAGCCAGTTTCCATGTTGTTGAAGCCCTGGAGATGTTTACTGAACTAGCAACACAACTCCTCCTCCTCACCTCTTGCCAGTCACCTCTGGGGTACCGTTTCAACAGCACAAATAGGCTGAGCGCAGACTTTGAAGGGCTTGCGAGGCTGGTGGCGGCCGGGAGGATGTGGTGCTGCTTGCGGCGTTCGCTCGTCCGCATCCAACTCGGGGCTGGCGACGTCCCCACCGGCTGGACAGAGTCACCCCCCCCAAGCAGCGCTCAGGGTTGTCAGTCCAGCCCCCCTTGCTGGGGGGTTGTTAGTGGGGCCAGCGCTGATGCTTGTGTCTGTGAGGAGCCGGTGTGGTTTGGTGGGGCGTGTGCCGTGCACGGGAAGCTCAAACACTGCGTAGGTAGTTCTATTCGCTCAGCAGCGGGTGTTCAATAAATAACCATGTAAGAGTGAAATCGTTCTGCCTCTCCTGACCTTCTGAAAGCCAAGCACTGGCAGTGGGTCGCGCTGGACGCGGTTGCTTTGCACCAGACGCAGCAAGACCATTCCTTGCTCCCTCCTCTGCTCCTTCCCCTGCTTTCCACGCCTGACCCTGCCAGCCCTCCCCCATCTCCTCCTCGTGAGCCCGGGGCTGCCAGCCCCGGGAAGGCCTCGCCTGGGCGCTGATGCACCTTGTGCAGCTGCCTTCCAGCAGAGCTGCCCTCTGGATGTGCTGGCTTGAAGCGAGCTGTCGCTTTGTGATTGTGATAATAGCCCTAATATTACTCATATTAATGAAATACAAGGAATATGTATCGGTGTATTGGGCCAAAAGCCGCTTTCATATGACAGCCCTACCTACTAAACAAATAATGCATGTTTAAGAGCGTCCCCTTCCAGACTGACAGCACAGGCAGAGGAAGCAGCTCCCTCCTCCCGCTGAACCATGCCCCGTGAGGGCTTGTTTCCATGAGGGTCACCCTGAGCACTGCTACAGGAGCAGGTGGCTGTCCAAGTCCGGCGCAGCTAGCACTGTCTGCTGGGCTCAGAGGCTTATCCTCTCTGGGTGCTGACTGTCACTAGTCATACTTCAAAATTTACCTTTTCGCACTTTAATATCCTATGTGTATATATATGCATGTATATATTTAATAGGGTAGTAGGAATGCTTCAGAAAATGTGTTTATCAGCATGCTTCAGTGTCAGTCATTCTCCTTCGCAGAGGTTTGGCTTAGATTTCATATTTACAAAGGCGTCAGATAATCCTAGGTCCTGCTGTTAAATAAAACAGTTCATATTTGAAGGCATTTAGAATTTGGGGGGTGGAATCTGTACTGATTTTGGCATAATAAGAATTCCTTTACGCTAAATAGCATGTTTTGTTTTTCTGGCTTCACTGCTTGGCTGGTAGGTTTTAGCTGTAAATTATATTACAATAGTCTTTTGTAAAATGCTCAGATTTTGCATTTAATTAGAAACAAATACGTATCTGACTCTGGACTGAGGTAAGCTTCTAGTACAAAATATCAAGAAATAGATGCTTTGTTTGATTCTAGAATTGGAACATTATAATGACAACTGAGGGAATGTATGTGTTTTCAGGAATACAAAACATAGAAAAATTAAAGGTAATGGTTTTTTTTTTTTTTCCAGAAGCTAAGGGGAAAGAATGGTAATGATTGTAGCTTCTTTGTATTCAGAATCATTCGTAAAATATGCCTTCAGGTTCCTTGCTTTAATGCACTCCTCTGTTCTATTTTAACATTCATTTGGAAAGCAGGAGTAATTCTGTCCTCTACTAAACCAATTCAGTGCTGGCCTGCTTGAAGTGGTGCCTGAGCATTTGGGTACTTTAAATATACAGGTCCTCTTTCCCCTGCAAGGGACAAGTTGGGAGCTTGGTAATCAGTATTCTATATACCTGAAGAGGAGCTATGTATGAAACTTTTGCTGGGGAGTGGGATGGATGTTTTAGTACACATTGGGAGCTTACGCACAAGCGTGGGTGCACAAACCCTTATGCAGCTGTGCAGTTACGATGGAGGAGAGAGATGGGGAGAATCTCTCATAAAAATAGTGCTTGTGCGGCCAGCTTGGGGCAGGAGCAGGTGACCTCCAGAGTCCCTTCCATCCAGAATTTGTCTGTAATTTTATAGAAAATAACCATGAGAATTGAGCCGCTTAATTCCAGTTCTGAGGAACCTGGGTATAAATAATTAGATTCTACATCACAAGAACCTGGAAAAAACTGTCTTCAGCAGTGTTTGTGCTGTATTTTTGTGATGGCTAATGAGCGTGTTTATGTATATCTACATAAAATATATGGATATACCCTTTAATTTTGTTTATGAACCTGGAGACAGGCAGTGACCCAGATTGCTCAGAAATGATACCATTACTGTAGCAGGAGATCAGTAGAAGTCTGTTTAGTGGACTGCTTTTAATTAAAAAAACCCAAAACAAAAAAAACTTAGTATTTATCATAATAATGAATCGTGTAAACTAAGTTTACTTTTTTATGCTAAAACTTTTTTTTTTCCCTTTGGGTTCAGAACAGGAAAACTAATAGAGCGCCCCACATCTTTTGAATGTTGCAGGAGTCCTAGTCAATAGTTGCAGACCTGCTAAGACTTTGAGCGGGCATTTCTTGGGCTTGCCAACTTTGGTAGGCAGCCTGAAAAAAGACTTCTGTCTCACCTCCCCTTTGCTCCCCCGAGTCATCCATCAGATTGGTTGCACTAGGTTTGTTGCCCGTAATTAAATAGAGAGTCTTGGTGAACAGTACTTCCTCTGTAAAACTGCTTTCCACAAGGGCTGTGTTCAGTCAAAGCTGTAACATGAGTTGTGCATGAATATTCATTTTCTTCCTTGTACCCTGTTAGGCAAGCGGTGGTTAAAGGCTCCCTTCCACATCCCTTTGCTTTGACGCTGTTCGGGGACACGTTGTACTGGACTGACTGGAACACACATTCGATCTTGGCCTGCAGCAAGTACACTGGGGAGGACCTGCGTGAAATACATTCCAACATCTTCTCTCCCATGGATATCCATGCTTTCAGCCAGCAGCGACAGCCGAATGGTAAGCTGCCTCGTTTTCATTCCCAACGTGCAAAAGTCTTAATTAATTCTGCTGTATATTGGTGGGTGGCTTCACTTGCATGATGACACAGCTTTTCCAGTGCAGTGATTGGGAAAAGACCCAAAGAGAACTCAAATATTCTTTACATTTAACATCCAAAAAAAAATCTTTTGCTGCCTTTCTTTTTTTTTCCCTGACTGCCGCATTTATCCTATTGTTGTATTCCTTTTTCTGTTTCATGTGTAATGTGGAGACAGCTTGATTTTTTTTTTTCTGAGTAGTAGTTCTTGAATGGAAAATACTGTTAATTTGGCAGATGGTATAAAGCAAGATCAGCTTTGTGTAATAACCACTGTCTTAACCATCGTGTTCATTTATTGTGTTTGCATTTTGTTTTTATATATACAACCTACTATGCATTCAGCACCAACATGTTGAATAGTTTGTGAAACCAGGAAGAGCAGGAAACAAGATTCTTGTTTAGACCTTAATGCTTCTTCCCCAAGAAAGGAAACACTCAACATCTATGTGTTTTGGTATCATAAATACCCCACTGCTCAACACTCGAAATTAATTTTTTCTTGTTCTGTGTTTATCATTTCCTCCTTTAATCTGTGCTGCTGCCACCAATTCTGTCACTCACAAGCCGTACGCGTCTTGACACATAAGATGAGGCCATTTGTTACCAGAAGCATTAATCTGTGTGATTTATGTTTAACAGCTACAAACCCATGTGGAATTAATAATGGTGGCTGCTCCCACTTGTGCTTGATGTCCCCTACCAAGCCCTCTTATCAGTGTGCGTGTCCCACTGGCGTGAAACTTCTTGAGAATGGAAAGACCTGCAAAGATGGTAGGCTTTATTTTTTTAAAATCTTTTGAAATTAAGTGCAGAGTAACTTTTGGAGGGAAAGCAGTTCTTTCAGCTATGACATAATGCACATTAGGGTGGGAAACTGCAAAATGATTTATGCTTTTGCTGTTCAGATGTGATACAAAAAAAAGCCCTCTATTTTTCAATACTTTACAAAGAAGAAACTTGGTATCATTGAAGGGTAGGCTTCTTCCAGTCACAAAGTTTAGGTTACACTTGTTGCTTGCCTGCTATTTTTTGCCCAAGATTTTGGTGGAGTGTACCGTTCCCTTTTAGTAAAGAAGATGATGCCTGTCTGCCTCCTCTGTTATGTCTTAATGTTATTGATTTTGAATTTGTCTTCCGCTAATATGATTAGAACAATTTCATTTTTAACAGCTGATTGTCATTTATACGCATACACACAGCATCTCTTTCTTCTCGCTCGTATAAATTGAGCACCTACATCAGTATGTAGAAATCGAAATGAATAGCATAATTTTAGAGATGTTGGAGGTTTTCTAACCTTAAATTATTATTATGATTGAGACTTAGGGATGCTGATGCCAAAACTTCTTGTAGTGTCTCTTTATGGTTTAATGTGCATGATTTCAGTTTCTTACATTTTGCAAATCTGGGCCCTCTCGTGAGATTGCATTGTGGTTGCTGTAGCTCTTTAAACAGTATCTAAATAAACATTGGAAGAAAATTAACTCTCTCATAAATAATCTTTTTTTTACTCAGTGTTTCTCTATGACCTCTATGACAGGGTAAAGCTGAGGAAAAAACAAAGATACAACAGACTTAACTGTAAATAGAGTAAATAAAATATATATAATAATAATTTTTATGCTAAACTTTCATTTTATATTTAAAAAAACTACACTTGTCAGCTACCATTCGGTGTTTTCCATAATTCTACGCTATTTCATGCTTTCTGCTGATTATTTTTGTGTGTTTATCTGTGTCTGTGTGAACGTTGTTAAAATAATTTGCTGCTTTTATATGAAAAGACTCAAAAGCAGCTCCTAAATTAGTCTTGCAAGATTGTTGTACGAACCTACCAATACTTGCACAGGTATTTCTCTCTCACTTCTGCCAGCATAAGGAACAAGCTTTAGTGATATTTTGGATTGGTCTTTTTTTTTTTCACAATGTAACACAAGTCACATGTTTTTCTTAATACTTCATGAGCAAGGGTGAAGTCTGTCATGGAACCAGAGAGCTAAAATAGCTGCTACTGCATAGAGGCATCTTCCCAGCAGCAGAACTGCATGAAAACCCCCTGTAGTCATCAAGCCAAGCAGAGGCTGGATGATGAAGCACAAGAGTTAAACAAGCTGGAGAGCAGGAGAAGAGAGAATGCGAGAGAAGTAGTTTCCTTTTGATCCCCTGGTAACAAGAAAAAGACCGTCATCTTTAGCCAAGATGGGCTGTCTCTCTTCTTATTTAAGAAGGAGGTCTTTCTATCCAAGACGTGCCGTGCTCCTTCCTGAGGTCTAGCACTGTGTCCTCACTGAAACAAACGATCACCCTGGTTAACTGCCCCGTGCTAAAGATCTTGGTTCTTATAGTGTGGCAAAATAGTCCAGTAAGGTGAATGCGTGGACTCCTGAAGAGCTAGTCCAGACTTTAAATATAAAAACCTTGTAAAAGTGTTTGAACTTCTTATACAGAGATAGTCAAAATTATCAGTTCATTTCCTTAGCCATTCTTAACCTCTCAGAATACTCAGCTTGAACAGATGAGAATCCAAACTGAGTGTTCTGCAACCATAAAGGATTCATTGCTCACAAAATAAATCTTCCATTTTACCAGAAGTTTTATTGTACAAAGACATTTATTTATGATATCTGTGTTAATGTAATGGGGCACTTTTGCCAACCATTCTGTCATTGCGTTTTCCAAAACACTCTTCCCCTCCTTTCTTGAGAAAAACAGGGAGGAAGGGAGGGGAGGAAATGGAGACCATGTGTGTTTAGCTTTATGCACGTTGCACACTAGTGCTTTTTGGCTTTAGTGACACTAGCACATACCCGTGTCACCTAAGCTGCTCCTCAACCTGTGCGAGATCTGTTGTTTTCCCTCAACTTAGCTGATCCTGCACAGAGCTCATTCTCAGCAGGAGCTTAAAGGCCGGAGGGAGCCTGCTGGCTGCTCAGCCCGTTCCAGCGTTTAGAGCTAGGCCTGCCCCAGAAACGTAACAGAGTTGGGGCTCTCTCACTCCTTTCACCAAGAAGAGTTGCAGAGGGTAGCTTAGGGCTTTTGTGAGTGACCTGTGACTCTCCAGAGCTCTTCAAGTTTCACTCTGATTTCTTACATTTAGGGAAGGCTACAGTTACTAAATTCATGGGGAAGGGAAATAAGGGGGGGTACAAATGGCATCTGCTCAGGAGCAGATTAGGAGTAGTAAACGTTTGTGTGTCCACTTCCGTTCTTAGGCTTCTTACTGATACTGGTGAAGTAAATGTACTTTCTCTTGTTTGGGGGTGGGAGTTTGGGGTTTTCTGGTTGTGTTTTCTGTGTTTTTGTTTTGTTTTTCTGTTAAATATTTACCCTGAGAGTGGAAAAATCAAAACTTAGATGCCTTCATTATATTTGTGTTATGCTGAAATCGGCCAAATTACTGAATAGTTAAACCTGCGGCTCACGGAGCGAGAACACGTAAGTGACTTTGGGGGAAGCAGAGGGACAACTTTCTCAGTCCTCTTTTTACTTTTCTTAATGTGAATTCCTTTTCTTAAGAGAAAGTTCTGTCTTCTGGCTGTAGACTGAGATCAGTTCCTAAGCTGAATTGTTTTATGCCCAAAGGAGCCTTTCCGAGAGGAGAACTCTTATTTCCTGCTGTGCCGATGAGAGTGCCGGGCTGGCCGGGAGAGGTTTGGAGGGGTGAATTTTGAGTGCGTGTTTGTGGTGTTTGCCGTGGCTTGGCAGTGACGGATGATCCTTGCAGCCAAAGGTGAGGCTGGCTGACCCTCCCAGAGCAGTTTCCATGGCAACTTAGCATTTTTGAATAATCTTGGTTTATAGCGAATCTTCTCCCTCCCTCTGTTCTCCCTCCCTCCTTTTAGTTTCTTGGCTTTTCGTTATTTTTTCTTCATTGCACCTTAGAGGAATTTCACCATTTCTCACGGGGGTTAGGAATAATAATCCCCACTCTCCATTTATGAATGCCTCTCCACAATGTTGCAGAAAAGAGTAATCACTTGGAATCAGATTAGCTATTTTCCTAGTAACTGATAGTGCTGGCTGCTTGCTCAGTTCTTGACAACCATTCCCCTTGCAAAACAAAGCAGCTATTTAATTGAGATGCGGGCTAGGAGCAGACACTTCACTCCCCCAGTGTCTAGGTGAAAGTTTAAAAATACCCATCCCTCAGAGAAAAGAGAGGCAGAATAACCAGTTTTTACAGGCAACTGTTTCTTGATCGGCAATGTCCAGCACCGAGTTAAGAGTTGTGTCTGAGCATGCAGCTCGCTCCTAGCAGCGCACTTTTACCTGCACTGCTGCCGTGCTTTGGGTAACGTAGCTTGCTGTCCTGAAGGACACATTCTTTGGAACTGCAGGCACCACTGTTCCTTTGAGTTTGCCAGTGATACATTTAGATGTCCAGATTGGTAGACCTTTATGTAACAAAATTTAGATGTGTTTTACAGGTTTGTCTTGGGAGTTGCATTTTCCTTAGTTTTTGAAGTTCTCTCCATTTATGGGCTTAACATCTCTCTCTGCCTGCGGTGAATTCCACCTTTTTATTTCCCGAATTTGCTACTGCCAATTCAGATCCACGGTTTTTATTGAGGAAAACCGATGATGGCTTCTGCTGAGCAAGGAAAAGGAAATGCCAATGTCCTCATGAAGAAAAAAGCATGTGTTCTGGGCTTAACATGAGTCTTTGGCCACTGCTTATTTCCAAGGAGGAGGAATCATTATATTGCTCACTGGCACTCACATCATACTTCCTTCACAGATGAGGGGACAGTGACTAAAAATTGGCGCTTGCTTTTGCAATCTGTGGCTGTGCAGTGGGAAATTCACCTTTCCACTTTGCTTGGAATAGCCAGAGTGCTGATTTGACTGCACATATCAAGATGTTAGTTTAATAACCTATCTCTTCTTTTAAATGAGAGTGAGAAAAAAAAAAGGTTTATTTCAGGCACTTCTCCTTTTGCCTTTCTAGTTTTAAGGTTGAGCCCATCTAGTTTCCTGTTCATATTGTAATATGGTGGGTTCTTGAACAATAGAGACTCTGTAACTGGGCAAGACATTTAAGAAAGAAGTATTTATAAGGACTTATTAAAGATCTCAATTTCTAAGGCACAGAGAAAGAATTATACGTGTCCTTGGTTTAGCATTTCTTCATTGTATGAATTCCTGCACGCGTGCCTGTGAAGCAGGAATAGCCTTAGCAACCACCGACGGTTTTATAGACCAATAATTTACACAAGATTGAGGGAAAAAAAAAAAAAAGAAAAAAAGTTGTTTGACATTGAGAAGATGTAATTCACTGCAAAGTTTAGCAAGGCATTAGACATTGAACTGTAAAGCTTTGTCATAACATATATCTGCATACTTCTGTTATGCATCCGCTTTTCTCCCCTTTCCTCTGACTTGAGCTAGACCAGATTTAAATTATGATGATTTTTAGCTGTGACTTTTTGAGGAAGTATTAGTTCTAGGACTACTATAATGCACCCTCTTTGAGCTTGTAATCCCAGCTTTCAAACTGCATAATGAAAGTAAGCTAAAGCTTTCAAAAATAAGAGATGGAGTAAAGCCTTTATGTCCATATTTAGGCATCTGAAGTGGTTTTATTTTTTAAAAAATTACTAAATATCCTGAGTACCCCCTGACTTAAGGCACGTAAAAATTTGGACATGACCCCCGGTTTGAATAGGTTTGAATTTTAAATATTTTTAAATTCTTTTTTTAGTTAGTTTTGTGTTGCTAAGTTCATTTAAGATGGTGTGGGAGATCAGCAAGATGGTCAGCAGAAGGATCCAACTTTAGACATGGCGCAGCCTTGCTCTGCTTGAAGGTGTTCACAGGGGCTCTTGACTCGGGATAGTTTGCCCCATGTGAAGGCACTCCCTGGGCCAGTGCTGCCAAACCCGGCAGGCTGCTGAACAGACGGGGCTCTCCGCATGTGGTGCCTCCTCTGGGCTGGCTGCAGTGGAGATTTCGGGTGCGCATAACAGGGCGGGCACTGAAACATCAGTGTCATCAGTATATTCTTCTCCAAGTCCCCCTTGTGTGTTTATCTGAAAGTCTATCTGCTTCATCTTTTTCTTATATGCAGTCTAAGGCATCTAGAGAGAAACATTTCCTGTCTGCAAATATGTGCTGAAGTCAGAGCTCTGGTTGCAGCCTTGATGCACCTCTGTTGAGTTGTCAAGTTCATGGCTCATTACAACACTTGGCAAATAAAAACTGAGGTGCGCTGGCCTGCAGCCAGAATTAGTTGTCCTTTCCTGCTGTTTTACTTATTTTCAAAGCATGATTCCACACTCATGATGTGCTCCATCAAGCTCCCCGTCAGAAGAGGCAGTGGCTTTCTTGGAGAGGCAAAGAGAAGATGAGTGGAGACAGGGACAGGCTCATGGTAATGAGGGCAGCAAGAGAAGAGGGGTAGGGGAGATGAGAGGATAGAGCCACTGGCCTCAGTGTGGTTCTGATCTTACTATCAGTTTTTAGCTTTTTCTTCTTAAGTGGTCTTTGGAATAGAAATTAAGAAGAAGAAAAAAATTGTTTCTGTTATGTTCTTGCAACTGTGAGCATCTTGAATGTTCTTCTGGCTGTGTTGTTACTTATGCCTAATCATGTAAAAATTTACAGCTGGTGATTGTCACAAGCTCAGATAGTTTGTTTTATTTCAGGGAAATCATTTTTCCCTTGACTATGGTCAAGGGGGTAATGTGGCCATTCCATAGAGGAGTCTGGATTTTGCATTTTTGTGTCTTGCTGTTGCCTGGACAAGCCTGGGAGAATTTGAAGTGTGGTGTTTTTTTTTTTTTTCTTTTTTTTTTTTTGTCCTTCAGCCGATCTTCAAATGAGATGTTTCTCTGCTACTCCCTTTCTCTTCCTGAACAAAATGAAATGACTGGTGATCTAACTAAGCAGCTGGGGTATCAGTTTGCAAATGGGTGGATAATAGCTTTCAAGCAAGCTTTAAACTTTTTATGGCTTGATTAGTGCTGTGTGTGTGCGTGTGTATGTGTTTGAGAAGGGGCTGGAATGTCAGCCAAGCCCCTCGATAAACACCATGAAATCCTTAGCTCAAGGATCCAGTGTGCAACATGCGTTAGCTGAAAGCCAATAATTTCCTGGTGCTGAATTAAGGCTTCGACACAGTGTGTTATTTGCCTAAACGGAACTGGTGCAACCTGAAAGGGTGCTGAGGCTGTCCAAGTGGGTCCTCTTGGAGGCCAATCACAAGGTCAGTTGATCAATTTTAAGGGTGAGTTTCGGCAAAGGCACGGCTGTACTTGAAGAGTCTTGTTGGGGAATTGGTATTGGTGCTTCAAAATGATTTTTCTTTCCATCTGGAGCAGACAACGTATCTTTAAATTATGCCTTAAGCTCCTTATATCTGATGGATTTTAGATAGTCTCATCCTTGTACAGAAATGTGCGGTTAGTGCATTCATACAACCTGCACATTCCTACAAAAAATTACATTTTTTAAACAATACTGTATTCACAATTTTGTTTAAAAGGTAAGTTGGATAAATGAGCATGAAGTTAGTGAGATTTCTTTTTTACTTGAGCCTCTAACGAGTTAGGATTGGTTATATTTCATTGTTTCATATGACCACGATGGAGCTAAATGCTTGGATCTGGATGCTCAATTGTTTGAGATTCTTGAATGTAAATGTAGACTCCTGACAAGATTAGTTGCTTCTGTAATTTTAGAAATCTTATTAACATGCCTCATTTCCATTTACTGTCACAAGCTTTAAATTATTTTAAAGCATGCACTGACACGTAATTGCAGGTTCTCTTCCGTCCTTCCCTTGATACTCGTTAATTCCTAAGAGTTCTTCCCTAGAAAGACAACTGAGTAATGTGTCTACCTGAGGGAATAATGTAAAGAGGATGGGGCCAAACTCTTCTTGGTGGTGACCAGTGATGACAGGACAAAGAGGTAATAGCTACAAGTTGAAACACAGGAAGTTCCACCTCCATATGAGGAAGAACTACTTTCCTGTGAGGGTCCCAGAGCCCTGGAACAACCTGCCCAGAGAGGTTGGGGAGTCTCCTTCTCTGGAGATCTTCCAAACCTGTCTGGATGCCACTCTGTGCCCCATGCTCTGCGTGTCCCTGCTGGAGCAGGGGGATTGGACTAGATGATCTCTAGACGTCCCTTCCAACCTCAACCATTCTGTGATTCTGTGTATATGTGTGTGTCTGAAGAGAAGGAGTATTTTAGGACAGAGGATGCAAAAGCTGATCTTAATCGATTCTGTACCGCCAATAAGGACACTTGTATTAATGTTCTTAGTTTCAGTTGTTGAAAAGTGCTGTTTCCTGCAGCTCTGTGAAAGTGTATTGTATATTTTTAATGCCTTAAACTTAGAGTAAGTGAAGGCTGCCCTGGCATCAGTCTAAAGTTTGACATGCAGAAAGGCTTCATCTGACACCAACCACGATTACTGATTTTTCAAAACGAAATTCGGCATCAGACACCTTTTTTTTTTTTTTTTTTTTTTTTAACATCACTGACCTAGCTCCTTTAATTGTTGCTCTGCTATGCGTCTAGCTGTTATTTATACCTATATATATGTATATATACCTATACCCACCTATACTTATGCCGGTACTTTCTTGCCATTACATACCTATAGTTATACCTAGCCTGTTATTTATACCTATATACCTTTTCTCCTGCTGTCCTTTCCTTTCCTTTCCTTTCCTTTCCTTTTTCTTTCCCCTTCCTCCCTTAGCTCCGGCTTCCCTGAGGACTGAGCTTTGCCTTTCTCCCCAAGACTCCAGACTGATAGGCCGATTTAATTTGCATAGGGGGCGGTGGTTGTGTGATATACAACGAAATCTCATAGCTTGGGCTAGAAGAGGAAATGAGATTTAATTGTAAGAGCCAGTCAGTAAATCCCTCACTGATGAGAGGCAGCAGCCCCTGCACCACTGAACAGCTTGTGTTGTGTGTTCAGACACTGTCTGCTTTGCAGGCTGGTGTTCTGTGCTATGATGGTTACATCTGACCTAAACGCCATCAGGGCTTTTGTACACCTCACTAAATGACATTATAAGCCACTCTGTTATTGATGTTCACATCTTCGGATAAGCTTGTGCTCATCAAGTAGAAGGAAGCTGTCCTGCTTCACGTTGTTGCTGGAGTCAGTTCCCGTCCCGACTCCGGTAATAAAAGTTTCTCGCAGGAGATTTACTTGTGGTATTTGCTAGCTGCATTTTCCCCCCTCTGAAAGGTGTTGAAATAAGTAGCTTGTTTGTCGTGGTTGTCCCATACTCCAACAACAGCAAACAGTCAGTAAATTATTTATTTAATTAATTTTTCATCTATGAGGCTGCTCCCCATCTGTTGACTTGCATAAAATTAAAGCATAGTCACTAATCTGTTTCACTGCATTTGGTGGGGAGGATAGAAAGCATGTCCAACATAGTCATTTTCTTGTCAAAAATGAATTGTTGAATTTTTGCTGTAAACACAATTGACAATTTCTGGAAAAAAAAAACACACACACATTTGAAGTCTTTGAGTAGAACTCTGCTGCTGCTGCCAATCAGTTTGGGCAGTTCTGTGGAGTCAAGGTAGCTGGATTACTTTGCAGCAGGACAGAATCTGGTTGAACTTCTGCAAGTTTATTAGATTTGTAAGATGCTTGTGTCTTCGTTTTGTATGTATAGGTGCCACTGAATTGCTGCTGCTAGCCCGCCGAACAGATCTGAGACGGATTTCTTTAGACACGCCAGACTTCACAGACATTGTCTTGCCCCTGGAGGATATCCGTCATGCCATCGCCATCGACTTTGATCCTCTGGAAGGCTACATCTACTGGACCGACGACGAAGTTAGGGCCATCCGCCGCTCCTTCATTGATGGCTCAGGCAGTCAGTTTGTGGTGACCGCGCAGATAGCCCATCCTGACGGCATCGCCGTGGACTGGGTTGCCCGAAACCTGTATTGGACTGACACTGGCACAGACCGTATTGAAGTGACAAGGCTGAGAAAAATATTGATAGCGGAAGAGCTGGAGGAGCCCAGAGCGATTGTGCTGGATCCAGTGGCTGGGTGAGGAGCTGTTCGTGAGCATGGTCAGAATACTAGTTGTGTAAGAGAAGATGCCTCAGTGTTGCTATATGGAGATAATGGGCAGTGGTGATAGACTGCTTCTGAGTCTCCAAAATTAAAGCATTGTTTAAAGTTACTGCCTTAAGGCCGAAGGTCTGCCATTCCCTACTGACTGCCTAGCTGGTTGTCTTTAATGTGCCTTTGTGTTTCCTTCTTCTGCTGTTTGAAAATGCTTTGGAACCGAGTAGAACTGTTTGTTTATCCTAGTTAATAGCACTGGTTATACAGTTTTTCTTAAATTTCATGTAATGGTTCAGTATGTTTATATCACAGTGCTGCCTTGACTGTTGGGTATCATTATCTAGATGAAGGAGGTTTATTTGGTTTGGAAATGCCAATTTCTCTGCAATGTGTGTGCACTCTAGCTGTGTGGTTTGGGAAGAGGGTAGTCAAGAAGAAGCTAGGTGAATATTGAAACTTTAGATTGATAGTAATTCTTGAGATTTTGTTTCTGTCGCAGGTACATGTACTGGACTGACTGGGGAGAAATCCCAAAGATCGAGAGGGCAGCGCTAGATGGCTCAGACAGAATAGTGCTGGTGAACACGTCCCTGGGGTGGCCGAATGGACTGGCGCTGGATTATGCAGAAAGCAAAATATACTGGGGTGATGCAAAAACGGACAAAATTGAGGTTTGTAATTATGTCTGCATTTTTAAATCCACGCTGCTGCTGCTCTCTTTTTCTAGGTATTTTCATTCCTTTTTGCCTTAAAAGGGTAATATGCTAATGATTGCTTTGTGCTTTAACAAACTTTTTTTTTTCTAAAATGCCAATGCCAATGATCCATGTAGTAGATGGTTCTTTTAAAAGGTGGTTGAGCATTAGATAAGTCACCTTTCAGATCAGCTGGAGTAAAGACTTTATTAGGAGCAACAATTGTTTCTTCTTTTTTTTATAGCTTATTCTTTGTGCTGTTTGGCTTAGATGTAATTAGAACGTATTTGTAAAGAAATAAATTTCATTTCACTTATAAACATCTTCAAACATCTTCTTACTCCTAAGAATATTCTGTATTTAGTCTGCCTTGTCTTATTAGGATTCCAACAGGGAAATAGGTTTCATTACTTTCTAGTATGTTCAACTGAGACATTCAGTTAAAAACAAAATGGAACAGAGGACAAGCAGCACTTCTGAATTTTGGATTTATTTTGTTATATATATGCTCATGGAACAAATTTGATCATTATGTCTTTGTCGGTCTGTGGGAATACAGTGTTGTTTAGTATTTGCTTAGCTTATTAGACGCAGAAGTTTGTTTACCTTGAAGCAAGAAGCCTGCCTACCACCAGGTGCAAACTAGCACTAGCTGCCTTTGCTATAGCCTGGTAGACTTCATCTTCCTTTTGTTGAGCTATAGCCTCCCTTAGTGAGTCCTTAACACTGCAAATATTTTTCAGCATTTATCAGCTCAGGCACAAAATCTTCTCTAGGCTTATAAAAGGTAGTTTTATTTATTTGTAACATCAAATAAGACAATGTGAAATCATAGTCCCATGCTGTAAGGTCACACAACTGTTTGTTCTCCCTCAGAGCCAAATAACTTCAGTCTTGCAAGGTGATTTGCTTTGAAGTGCTCCTTGGGAGAGCCTCGGGGAGCATGGTTTTCCTCATCCTGAGAACAAGATTTATTGCCTATAATTCACCTAACTTTTTAGCAGCTCTGAGAAAAGAGGGAAAAGAGAGACTTAGCTGTACCTAGAGATTTATTTATAGCAGATAAATAGCACTTCAACTGTGATACTGCCTAGAACTTGAATCTGTTTTGCAAAAGGAAAGTTAAGCATCCTGCATGCCTGGTTCCACATTCATTAATTATTCTGTTCAGAGCTAGATCAGTTCGTGTTAGAAATTTTTGTCTAGATCAGGCATGAACTTGTTGCTATGATTCTGTCAAACTGTCTGGAACACAGATAAAATAACAATGATAAAATATTTGTGCCAACATTATCTTCTCTTCTGCCACGGACTTGGATCTAATCTTGCATAAAGTCTGTTGGGACGATTAAAATTTTATTGTTAAAGTAATGTAAGCCCACAGAATAACTTTGTCCCAGGTTGTCGTGTGGCGTCTATGCAGGGCATCAAGAGATGATTTAGCATTTTAAGATTTCTGAATTATTAGGTTGTTTTTCTTATTAGGTTTCAAGTTAGGATTTTGTTGCTTGGTTTTAGTAAAAAGATGACTTTTTCAACTGTGTTATGGATGTGCAAAGAATCTTGAAGAAAACTGG